GATGCTAAAGCAATAATCGATTTTAAAAATGCAATAATTACTATAGATCATCGAGAATTTCCTTTCCAATATAAAACCCGCCAAATTGATGAAAAACAAAATAATGATAATTTATATCACAATCTACAACCATTATCCGAAGCCAATGATGTTAAAATCTTTGCCATAGACGTTGTTCAACCAACAGATATTGAATTTGAATTTAATTCCTTTCAATCTTTAAATAATATCGAAGAGAAATACATTTTTCACGTTAATGCTCATGATTTAACTAAAGGATTAGATCCAGAGGTAGAAAACAATGAATTTTATTTAGATTCTTCAAACCCTTATTATCAAGAAGACCAAGAAGAATTAGAACAGTTAAAGAAATGTAATATTGCGGAATTCTTACGTCTCGACCATTTAAAACAAACAGAACGGCAACATATTCTGGATTTAGTGGAAAAATATAAACATATGTTTTATTTACCGGGAGATGATTTACCGGGTACCAATGCCTTTATGCATCGAATTCCAACTATAGATGATATTCCTGTCAATACAAAACAATATAAATTTCCTCATGCTTTAAAAGAAGAAATAATAAAACAAATGAAAGAATTGTTAAAATTAAAGATTATTAAACCTTCCAATTCTTCATATAATATTCCATTATGGATAGTACCAAAAAAACCGGATTCTCAAGGTGTAATAAAATGGAGAGTCGTTCTAGATTTCAGATGGCTCAATGAAAAAACCATTAGTGATAGCTATCCCCTCCCCAATATTACTGAGATTTTTGACCATGTAGGGGGCGCTAAATACTATACAATAATCGATTTAGCCAAAGGATTTCTTCAAATCAAGTTAGATCCACGGGATTCTCATAAAACCGCTTTCATCACACAATTTGGACACTATGAATTTACAAGGATGCCTTTTGGACTTAAAACAGCGCCAGCAACTTTTCAACGACTTATGGATACCATACTTGATGGACTTCAAGGAGTAAAATTATTTGTATATTTAGATGACATTGTAATTTATGCAAATCCACTGGAGACTCCATCCAATGTGACTACATCCATTGGACACGTTGGTGGCGCGGCGCGGTAAAACGTCGGAGGGGGAAAAGTGGGCGTGACTAAACTTAGAAAATAATATTCAGTAGCGTCTGTTTAAAGTGTATCATTGACAAGTCCAAAGTCAAAATGGTCAATAAAATAAAAAAATTATTTTTGACGTTTCAACAGCACTGCTGTTCTCATCAGAAACTAAAATATTTATTAATGGAATAAAAAATATTTATTAATAAATAAAATTTATTAATATTTTACGGTATCAGTGAAAGACCCCATCTTTTTTATTGGTAGTACAGCCCTGAATATTTACAGTTTTCGGCGTAGAGGTTGCGTCAAGTACGAACTCCATCGACTGGACTAAGACTCGAGCCGTCCAGTGGATGGAGTCTCCAGTGTAGTTTAGAAGAACACGATCAGAAATTTCACGAGTTAATGGAAAGACTTGTGACAGCCGGATTGAAAATACAAACAGATAAGTGCGAATTTTTAAGAACAGAAGTTAATTATCTAGGACATAAGTTAAGCAAAGATGGTCTTAGTCCTGATTCAAAGAAAATTGAAGCTGTTAAACAATTTCCAATCCCTAAAAATGTTAAAAAAATTCGAGAATTCTTAGGTCTTGCAGGATATTATAGACGGTTTATTAAAAATTTTGCACAAATCGCGAAACCTTTAACAAAATTACTACAAAAAGATTCAGAATTTGTTTGGGATGAAAAAACTAATCTTTCATTTGAAACTTTAAAAGATCTTTTGTGTAATGCTCCTTTACTTCAATTTCCGGAATTAAATAAATCTTATAACATCACAACAGATGCATCAGGTTACGCAATCGGAGGTATTCTATCTCAAGGAGAAATCGGCAAAGACAAGCCTATTGCTTATTTTTCTCGCGTATTACGAGGGCCCGAGTTGAACTATGAAGTTTATGAAAAAGAAGCATTAGCCATTGTAGATAGTACAGAAGCTTTCCGATCGTATGTATATGGCCGACAAATTAACATATACACTGATCATCAACCTCTAATTTGGTTCAAATCAGCAGATTTAAATACTCGTGTTCAAAAATGGCGTTTTAAATTATCAGAGTATAATTACACTGTCTTTTACAGACCTGGAAAAATAAATACGAATGCAGATGCTTTATCAAGAAATCCCTTAGAACCTACAAATATAAATATTGTAACTAGAGCACAACAAAAGCTCTTGGAAAATTCTACCCCAAAAAACGATAATGACATTTCAAACCAAAAAAATGTACCTCAAAAACAAATACCTAATAATAACAAGAATTAATCAAAAACACCATGTGAAGAAAAAGCGCAAGAAATAAATGAATCATTAATAAATAATCCTTCTGTAAAACGTTATCCTAAGCGAAATTTAAATAAACAAAAACCTGCTTACGAAGAAAGCGAATCCGAATCGGAAAAAGAAGAAGTAGCTGGAACAAACCCTTTAAGACCTCTCCCAATCAAAGCTAGAAAAAGAAGATGGTTAAGGCATGAGAGTGATAGTGAATCTACAGATTCAACAAGTAATGAGGAGTTGCTAACAAATGGAAAATTCCCAAACCGTTTAATAACTAATATTACAGAAATTCATGAAACTATTCAACATCGATTAGGTAATATTATGTATTTTGTAAATAATGAGGGTACACCATGTGATGAAGGTGCCTTAAAATTAAGTGAAAATAATAAAATTTGTGCACGTCAAACATTAGTTGTAGGTCGTGTAAACGAGATTAAACGAAAAAATAATCGATTTCTATTTTCCTTATGTTTAAAAGAAAAAGACCCCATTTCAATTAGCGAAACTCAGAAAAGAATTCATAAGTTATTTAAAAATGTGAAAAATCGACTTATTGAATTAAACCAATCGGAAATTTCAATTGCTAAAAGTAGAAATGTTGAAAATTTAGAATGGAGAGAAATTTTAAAATTAATAAATTTAGTATTTAAAAATTCTAAAATCTCAGTTTTAATCTGTACGGGAAAATTAAAATACGTACCTATTCCAAAAAGAGACGAAATTTTCTATGAAAACCATAATTGTCCTATCGGAGGACATAAGGGAGTATCGAAAACTTATAATCGTATTAAACAAAACTATTATTGGGAAAAATTAAAAGATGATGTTACTAGAAGAATCCAACAGTGTTTAGATTGCCAATTAAAAAAATTGGTCCGATTAAAAACTAAGCAACCTATGGTGATAACGGACACACCAGGCATCGCTTTAGATAAAATCGCTATGGATATTGTGGGTCCTCTTAAAATCACTTCTAAAGGTAACGAATACATCCTTACAATTCAAGATTTGTTTTCCAAATTTTGTTTAGCTGTACCACTCTCTAATACATTATCCAGCACTATTGCTGATGCTTTCATTAAGAAATTTATCTGTGTCTTTGGTGCACCAAAAACTGTTTTAACAGACCAAGGCAGAAACTTCTTAAGTGAATTAATGACTAGAGTAGCGAAAAGATTTAGAATAAAAAAATTAAGAACAACAGCATTTCATCCCCAATCTAACGGTTCTTTAGAACGATCCCATCATTCCTTAGGCGAATTTCTTAAACAGTATACAGATGCTGATAACGAATGGGACCAATGGCTCGATATAGCCATGCTTAGTTACAACACAAGTGTGCACGAAAGCACAAAACATACCCCATATGAAATCGTTTTTGGTCGATTAGCTAGACTTTCCTCGTCCGATCCTTTACAAGAAGGTGATTTAGTCCCAACATTTAAAGGGTACATAACAGAGTTAGTAACCCGACTAAACGGCATTCAAAAACTTGTTTATGACAACCAAGTTCAGTCCAAAGAAAAGTCCAAGGAATACTATGACAGAAACATTAATCCTGTTAATTTCAAATTAGGGGATTACGTTTTTCTCTTGAGTGGTCCCAAACCCGGTAAATTTGGTAACCATTATGCGGGACCTTATAAAATAATCGAAATTTTGAGCAAAACAAATGTAAAAATTCAGATCGAAAAGAACCACAAAGTGGTACATACGAATCGATTACGAATATCTCACATTAACAAAGAAGCTAAAACCCCATTAAATAAAATACACAATCATGTTGATAGTGATTAAATAAACCTATTATTAATAAGAAAACAAAAGGTTTTGTTACAGAATGATTGTTCTACTTTTGAGTTTTCTTTTCCTCATTCCTTCCTTCTCAGTGGGAATGATTGGATACAATTGTGGATCAGGAGAACTTAATGTAACGACAATTTCGTTACTTGAAGTAGGTCAATGTGATGTCCCCAACATCAACTTAAACGTAACGTATCCATACATACAACTACTTCAGATTAGTGAGTATTCTGAAGTAATGGTAAGGCAGTATAAAGTTGAAGTACGACGAACGATATATCGTTGTGGAATGTTTTCCCACGTATCTGTAGTGCATAACGGTGTGAATGAATACATAATGGAAACAAATAAGGTTGAATGCGCGAGTGCACACATAACCGGAATTCCAAAATTACCAAACAGCCATGTAGTCAGCGGACTTCGAATTAACGAAACTATTACCCATCCAATAACAATAGCTGGAAGTCTTGAAAATGATGGTTCATGTCAGGGAACAGGTTATTCGGATCCCTATGGATCATGGAAAAAGGTAGTTGTGCAAGCAACAGTCAAAATAACTTTATTAGAACACTTAGCTCGCGTGAAACTAGAGTCGAATACAATTGTCCTAAAATCCGGAACTAATTGTCGTTTAGCAGAAGAAAAATGTGTAGATCAGGAAGGAGGATATACATATTGGAATACTGTACAACCGCATTCTTATAAATTCGATCAATATAGTATTTTGTAGGAAGGTAGAGCCAACAAAATGGTAGATCACGATATATATAATCCTCAAACCATTTATACTGTTAATAAAGGCGAAGTTACATTTGCTTTAAACACAAAATCAAGCGAATATATATGTGGATATTTAATCTTAAAGACGGAACACCCCAAATTATTCATTTTTGAAACACAACTAGGTACTAGCTTTGTTAAAAACACAAAAATCGCGATCTCAAATTTAGACCTATTTGCATATGTAAATTCCAAGTTTATTTATGTCGAAAAACACATCAGGAAACAAATGAAACAATTGTACGTCGATATTGTAAGCCAAAAATGTTACTTGGAGCAACAAACAATTAAAAATTCGTTATCTCTAGCTACTCAAGCACCAGACCAATTCGCGTTTGATATTATGAAGGGTCCAGGGTATATGGCATTGGTTTCAGGAGAATCAATCCACATAATTAAGTGTACCCCGATGGAAGTAAAAATCCAACAAGGAGAAAACTGCTACAATGAACTTCAAGTAACCGCCAACAACAAAACATTTTTCCTTTCTCCAAGGACACATGTTCTGAAAACCAGAGGAACCCAAATCCAGTGTAATTCTCTTTTACCATCATACTACCTCGTCAACGAACATTGGTATAAAATACTACCACAAGTCGTCGAAACAATCCCACCTGCAGTGATCCAACCTTCCAAGCCCAACACGTGGAAGTACATCAACCCCGAGGATTTGGCTACCAGTGGAATCTACACCGAGAAAGAAATTGATCAACTCAACGATAAAATCATGTTTCCTGTAGAGAAAACTGCAGTTCTAAATAACTTAGCTATGAGTATGAGTGGACATCAAATCATCTCTACCAATGACAATGTTCTGAATCTATTTAATGAACAAGTTGTCGAAAAATTCGTAAACAACACTTGGAATAAGATGTGGGACAAATTTATGGTTTTCGGTACGGCAAGTGCTAAAGTTTTTGCAATCTTCACCATTTTTCACCTCCTCAAATCTGTGGTGAACACACTAGTCCATGGGTACACTCTTCATTCCATCTATGGTTGGTCCATTCATCTATTAGATGCAATCTGTGGGTCTGTAGCTCATTTATTACTACAACTGGGTACTCGACCACCCCAACCTGAAGATGTTCCGTTACAAGAAGTCACTTCGCAAGCAACGAAAGAAGTCCCAGCGGCAGAAGCTCCTCCTTCGCAACAACTATATCCTTCAAATGAACTACAAAACAAAGAGGATACTTCAACTTAAATACCTAAATACTTAATTTTGGGAATTGAGTTTCAAGAAACCAAAGCCTACCTCAAAACTTTTCATCCGCAAATATAAAATATCTGTACAATTTTTTTTTGTTTGGTCACTTTTCGTCTTTCATCCTCAAGTAACCATTTTACGGCCGGGGTGTAACGTCCCGTGTATATTTCGAGCATATAAATGTTCAAATAAGATTAGTTTAGATAAAATTAGAATTTTAAGTGTTTCTCACACTTCGTCGCTGTTTTGAATGTTTATTTCTAAACAAACTACAAGCGTAAATAATCTTAAATTAAATAAAAGATATCAGAACGTCCTCTTCAAAAAACAATTATTTCTAAAAACTTGTTTACCGGTAAATTTGAAAAACGTCTAAAATTCTCAAAACCTTAAGCTCAAAATCAACAGTTCCGAAAATTAAAAAGATAGAATAGAGAAGAATTGTATTTTGAAGATATCATTCTGATATCTCCTGTAAATAAAGTCAGCATAGTTGAATAATCTAGCGTAACTATCTAAATATCCCGAGCACCGATGCACTCTTGCAAACAACAAGACCTAACTGTTTTCAGCTGTTATAAAATATTTTTTATGTTATATTTCAATTTTGTTAAAATTATTATTATTACTACTTTATAAAATTCCATAGCATTGTTAAACAAATTAAAATATTCAAAATTATAAAAAAATCAATATAATTAATATTAAATTTTTAGTTTAGCGTAAAGTATGAGAATGAGTGATTTAATTATAAATAATGAATAATAATTGTTTAAATGTTTAAATTTTATTGTTAATTAACTTTAATTGATTTTGATTTCTTTAATTAGATTTAATTATTTAAAATATTTCAAGTTTTTTATTATAAATTAATTATTTCACAGACAAATCATTGTGTATAATTGTTTATAAATATTATTTGAACATTTGAATTATTATTACTCATTTATGATTATTATTAATTTTTAATTCAATTATTTTAAATTACTTTTCAAACGTTTTAGAATAATTTCGTTAAATATAAAGAATATTCTATACTTTTATAATAAAAATTAAATTAATAAACAAATTAAACAATTTTAAATAAATTTTAATTATTTTTAATTATTCAAATTAATTTTTAATCACTAATTAACAATTTAAGTATACAAAATTCTTTATATTTTAAAACTTTAATCATTAATAACATTTTATTGTTAAAAATTATTGTTAATAACTTTTTAACTAATAATATTAATATTCATAATGTTTAAATTAATTTTTAATGATAATAATGTGAAAATTATGAAAAACTCAGAAATTAGTTGGAAAACTGAATTTTGGCTCCATCTCTTGAAAACGGTGAACACTTTAAGCCCCTTCCACTTGAAAACTCCCCTAATTCAAGTACGCCCACGCAACTTCTTATCTCTCAAGGCTGGGCCTGAAGGGCCCAATACCGTCACTGACCTAACCAGTTTTTTCCCCATTTTCTTTCCTTGGATCCAATCCTTGTAATTTCCCAACCTCTTTTTCCTCCACTTTGAGACCCATTATTTTAAAACATAGTTCCATTCCTAAAAATAGGTAGGGACAATGATATAAAAATGCGAACCCCGTTGAGAAGTCAGTCACAAAAATTCTAAAAAAATTCAAACTACTTCTTCCTCAAATTCTTCTTCAAGTTCAAGTTCAATTAATTTTCATTTTTTCTTACAATTTTCCAAGTGTTAAATTTAAATTGTATTAAAAATTCCCACGATTCAAGCCAAAAATTCAACACTTTTTCAACCGATTTCTGAGTCCACAAGTGCCAATTTGTTCAAATAAAAGTAAGTCTTATATAAAAATTGCTGTCTAACTTTCATCTAAATCTTTTTCTTGTCATTTCTAAATAATTCCGAAGAATATTAATGCGTTAATCGTGTTCTTATTTCTTCAATTTCCTTATCGTATTTTTGTATTTATCATAATTTTCATTACCTTACCTAAGGATTTTAATGCGTTTATCGCGTAATTATTCCTTTAATTTCCCCGCGAAAATCCCTATATACATATATTGATCAATTTGAATCGTTCCTGAGTTAGTGGACGCAAGTCTAGACTCGAAACATAAAATAAGAGAATATTTCCGAATATTCTCTAAAATTTAGACTTGCGTTATGCATCAAACGTAACACAGTATTGCAATATTTTTAACCACAATTCGAATACTTTCAAATGTCTACATGAAGTTGATGACATTTTTTTCTATATTGCAGAGCACGGTATAAGAACTGACGTGCGACTCAGAAAACATTTTTTTTATAAATATTTAGGGGATTATAATAAATTGGTTATAGTTCAATTTCATATAGCTATTGAGACGATTGACGGTAATTACGCAAAGTCCTTCAATAATAAATAGAAAGAAGATTTGACAAATGTAAATAGATTAGTTGTTGGACACAAAAAACAAGAAGAAGAAGAAAAAGAAGAAGAAGCAGAAAAAGAAGTAGGAGGAGGAAAAAAGAAACAACATCATAATGATATAACTCAAAAACTTGTTTCTACATTTGGTTCTGTTTTATTATTTCGCTTTTCAAACTTACCTACCGAATTACCATTTCAAAAATACAGTGGAATTTCTAAATTGAGAAATTTTGAATTTTTTTCATCAAATGTCGACGATGATTTTAGGAGAAGCTTCACAACTTCAAAAAATAATTATTTGGATAAGGACCCTAATGAATTTAAATTTGATAAAAGTATTAGTTACTTTAGCTGCTATAATACCATGTACAAAATTTTACTCCAAGTAAATACTGCCACTAGTAGCTTTTGTAATGTGTCAAATAATTATGGTTATATTCCGAAAGACATTTTCAACACATCTTTTTCATTGTACGAAGAGGACACATTTGAAATATATTTCGAGAGACACCAAAATCCAATCAATTTTGATTTTTATGAACATTTAGCAAAATCTGAAAGTAACGAAAAATTTAAAACTTTTTTAAATCATCAAACAAGAAGTGAAAAATTGTTGTATAAAAATGAAAGAAAAGAAAGTGAAGATGAATTTTTTATGAATATAAACAAGAATGGAAATGTCAATTATTCGTTGAAAGCTCTGTCAGCAAAGAATGATTCGTTTATTCAACAATTGAAATATGTGAAATCAACAATATTTCACATACAAAACTCTCATGATAACAATGACAATGATTATAACAACGAACATTACAAAAAAAATGTTAATGACGCCAATTATCATAATAACGGCGACGATGACAATTTAAATAACGTTGGTATTAATAATAGATTTTCCATTAATCCTACATTTGGTATTAATAATTAGAGAATTAATACATTTTCTATTACGTGATTCGAAAGTGTATATAGTTTTCGAAATGTTGCAAATGTTGAAACATGGATTAATGGGGATCCAGGTTTTGATAAACAAAAATGTTCGCTTATTCAATTTTTATTGTCGAAAGACGTTTTAAAGAAACAAGAAAACGTTGATATTGATAAAACATCAAAAAATGGTGTTCGTCTGTTTATTGTTGGATACAAAATTAATAAACATACTGGTAATAGTCAGTGGACAGATTTTTTATATCAACGTATCATGAAACCAATCAATATACTTTTAAAGTATCCTGAAAATATTCAACAAATCATTTTCAAGAACAACATATGGAGTGCACGAGACGCAATTATCACATTCGTCAATGAACAAAAGTTGCAGTATATTTTTCACGATATTGAATACGATCGGACAATCATTAATTTGATATCCGGAAATGGACAATTACATCTTTTCGAAGACAATGATGACATTCGTATATGGTGTGACGAGATTGATGATTTAATTACAAATGGTGATATTAATGTATCAAATTTACACTACTCTGATAGCAAAATAATCCAAGTTGGTAAATATAATAGAATGAATTCTTCTGTTTTTAATGTTATTTTAAATTTATTGCAATATTTAGAAGGAATTGACACTAATAGCTTAAGTGTTGATGAAAAAGAAAATTATTTTATACAACTTTTATTAAAATCACATGCTTTATACACATTACAAATTGCGTGACTTGTTGATCTGACATTCAGTAATGAATAAGTGAAATTGATTTATTTGAAAAAGTGTGCCTCGGAATTATTAAAAATGGATTTTTTAGTTGGGAGAGGAAAACTGAATATTGATAAACACAAATTCGCATTCAGCAACACACATAGTATTTGAAAAATTTGGATCTCAAAGAAAAACGAATCGATTTTAATGATTTTTTCAGGGAATACGTATTATTAGCTAACAATTTAGAAAAAAAATTTACAAAAAAAATTTTTTTTTTTTTAACAAAAAAAATTAAAAATTATTGTTTAAACAAATTTTTCTTTGATAAGCGTATCTTTAATTTCTTTCTAATACTGATATTTCGATTCCTTAGGATCTCACGAGTATTTTCATAAAAAAAATCGATGGAGACTCTTAAACTTTTCGAGATATTGAATTTTTTGTCTTTTCGCGCAGCGCCGAACTGCGCTTCCAATGCTAGTCGTTGTATGCAAGCTGCTGTTCAAAACTACTAATAGCCCGTAAATCTTAACAGAATTGAATATTTCCTCTTGGCTAATGATCAGTGATAATTATAAGAGAAATCGGGTCGTTTTTATTGCTTAAATTATTAATTATTTATATTTTTAAATAAACAACTAACACATATTTATTGAATTCTTTAAAATTTTATTTATATACAAAATATAACAACAAAAACAATTGATAAACTATCCAAATGATTTAAACTTTGTTTTAAGTATAAATCCATTTTATTTACATTAAAAAATAATTCTTATAATCAATTATTATTTTAAACAAATTTTTTTAAATTTCATATATTTTTTTTAGAAATTTTAATGTTCTTATATAAAATTTTTAATAATTTCCGTAATCTGTCAACTTACTATAAAATTGTTTTTCATGATAAAAAAATTGTTATAAATAATTTTATAAAAAATTAAATTAA